TTTTAGGACAACTGTCAGAAAATTATCAATAATGCGATTCCACGTGCTTCTTCTGGAGCAGTGATAATGCGACTGGCTCGGTAGTGAAGCGTTATTTGTTTACTCGGCATTGTTGTGTTGTACTGGGCATTGTTGTGTTCCACAACAATGCCGTGTATAAACAAATATAAGGTGCTATTGTTGATGACGTAATTTTTTGACGACGACGAAATCACAAATTTTTATAGTAGAGAAGATTAGTGTCTGTGTTAATGGATGTCTTCTGTGTTATTGCGCCGTGTTGTATGGTAGAAGTTTACCGACGTTTCGGAAGTGTTTGCTGCTTCCATTTTCAGGGTAATGAGTGGCGATGGAAGAAGCAAGCTCCTGGGAAACGTTGGTAGACGTCTATCAGACCTGATGGTGAAACAACCTAGCAGACCATCTTCATACTCGTCTCCGTGAGAACCCGAATCTCAAGTATTGGCTGTGCTCTTAGGATAAGCATTGTAGTGTCATGAATATAATTACGATAATGTTTTCATAGCGGCATATACTGTGATTTTCCCTTTACATACACTGAACTTTGTGGAATTGCCTTAATTGGTATTGTTTATTAACCTTCATGCTGGGTCTTGCACGCTGATAGTATGAAAAAATTTAATTACTTTTGATAAACGTGGTTGGAAATTCCTGCGGAATGATGTATTCCAGGAATGTATTGTTCGTAATAAGTTTGTCGGATCAAACCATTGTCCGGTCTATTAATGTGGAATTTGCAGGCATGCATAGCCGAAGCATTATAAAACATTGTAGTTGTTTAAACTGAGCAATAAATAGTTTCTCTTCATCCCACCCCCCACCCCGTACTCTAACCCGAAGTCATATGACGCAGTTGTGACAGTAATTAGTCATGGCACAGATAGCAGTTCATTTCTGTACCATATTTGTCAATCATTAGCGTGATCTCAGTGCTGATTACCTGCAATTGGACACAACAGGTGTTCGTAGTGATTCAGCCTAGCGGTTAATATTTTGTGTTATAAGGTTTCTGGATTGATTCCATAGGCGGATAACTCTCTCGATGGAGCAGAGCTCATCAGGAAACTTTTGTGGAATCAGAAGGTTCATTAGCGTGTTCTCAAGAGCCCGCCATTGAACCTTATCCTGAGCCAGCTGAATCCAGTCCACCTTTTGTAAGACTCATTTCAGTATCCTCCCATGTTTTCCTTCATATTCGATACGTTCTGATCGTGATGTCAGGTCCTGTGTTGAAAACACTTTTTGCGTGCGGCTTACTTATCACCTTAATGGTAGAGGCAGCAAGGACATCTGATACGTTGCTTAACTTCTACCAGACTACACGTCAGAACAGCCCAGAAGTCATCCATCTTCGTTACAGTAAATCCTTCCTATACCGGATTTTCAAGGAAGGTGTTTTTTTTAATGAGATTTTCGCTCAACGTAGATACGTTCTTCTAGAGTATAATAATATATTTCACAGGTACTGTATTTATGATTCAAGATAAATTGAAGAAAATAATAAATGTAAGCAGACTTTTTTGTCATAATATGAACAGTCGTTCTAATTCTTGCGCGAAGTGTTTAAAACGAACAATGTTAAGTGAACCGAGGGATGGAAACTCTTTAACTACAGTGCAGCTCTAAAACAAAATTTATGGACATTCTATGTGTGAATGTATGTTTTCTCATTTTGTTGCAAATTGGCCAAGTATGTAATAATTACGGCTACCGAAATGTTCACTGTGTTAGTATTAGAGTATTTTTCTTTCTTGCCTTTTATCAAATATATTCCAGTAGATAATAAAAGTTCTCACGACGGTGAAGGTGTCAATATTGTTGTTGTAGGATGTGAAACCGTAAATAGATATCAGCGTTCGGAAGAACACGCTTATTCCATCTTCAGGGCTGAAGGTGGAGACAGTATGTTTATCCGAAACATTAATATCTTCATCCGGGTCCACACGGCGACACAAGCCAGGAGAAAAATATCGTCTTGTTTCAGTTGAGGTGGGTAGTGAGAGAGCAGGGAGACATTTAATTGGAAATACGAGTGTGGCGTCTTATAAATCGCATTGCTACCTCAGCCCCGTTGCTTTTTTCTTGCTACGAAGCGAAAATTAAACCAAGAAATTGGAGCTGATAGAAACTTTCTGTTTTCCAACTCTTTATTCTTCCTCCCAGGTCTCACCCACAGTGGGACCTTCCATAACACGGAACTGTGCGTTAAGTAGCGAAATTTAAAGCGCTATTTGTCATTTCTACAGCAGAAATATGTTATGAATGAACAGAGTCGGGGTTCGGTTTTCTATGGCGGACAACTCAACGCGACGTCCCTAACAGTTCTGTAGACGTGTGGGTCTATTTCCTTGCAGTTCATAAATTCGCCTCTGCTATATATACAATATATATATATATATTGTGACGTGTTGCGGTGAGAGCAGCATAACAATGTCAATAAACAGTTTAGTTGTCTGTTTATTAACATTATTGGGTTTGGAATTGTAATCGTTTATAGACATTGTTGTATTTGGCATTGTCGTATTCGGCATTGTTGTGTATATATACATTGTTGCTTTTGGAATTGTTGTATTCGTTTATAATTGTTGTGTATATAGGGAGGGGGAGATAGCCTGTACATTTAACCCAAACTACCCACCGATCAGGAACAGCCGTAGTATGCCTTTGGGTTATAATTACGTTCTACAACAGATTTCTCTCTTAATACGCAAACTTTAATTGACGGAAATTTAAGAACGTGTGATGATAAACAACTGTGTTTACGACTATTTTTTCAAGCTGTGAACGTTTTGTGATTTATCAGCTTTCTTTTTATTGAAGTAAAGGAAATGTTTAACCTTTCATAGATTTTAATGGATCTTATTATGATTGACTCCCATCAGCATTACCAATATGGTGGCCGTGCGATATTTTAAAGTGGCACTTTAGCGCTGATTATGATTCTGATGTTTCATATACATAGACCTTGGAGTCTGCATTAAAATTTATATATATATATATATATATATATATACATGTATTACAATTCCTGGATGTTTTTCTGACACATTCTTTTGTATAGCAGTCAATTTATTAGTGATTTTATTCAATTAACGAATATAAGAAATGACGAACATGGCTGTGTGGTAAAGTTTGGAATTACGTACGCTTATTACAGCTGACGAATTCGTGTATCAGCCGGCATACGCACAGAAATACACCAGTAAAATGTACATATTTGTATAATTATTTATGCTGCTCTCTTGTAAGTTATACGAGACGTCGGCATTTAGAGGAATGTAATGTAATGTAACGTTTCCTAGGCAACAACAATGCTGAGTAAACAGATGACGTTCCCTAGGTACCGGATCTTACAGATTTTCCTGTAACTTTTTCGTTACACTTTTTTGCCGAATGACCCTTCCTTATAGACGTATTTACGTCAAAATATAAATGAGTTTTACAGGAGTAACTTCGTGCTACTAGGCAGGTTATTCAGATTGTTGTGGACGTTGTTAGCGACTGCCGTTAGACTGCATTGAAATCACTGAACAGGTGTTTAATTGGCTGCTTAATTCGGTCGTTCATTTCTTTTCTTGTTGGTTAGTAAGTTATTTTGTTGGTTAGTTATTTAACGGAACCACTATATTTTTCAGTCTATGTAAATGGAAGTAAGTATGGAGAGTTCATGTAAATATTGG